AGCAAAGGGCTGATTCTGCAAGTCTGCCTCCTGGCCGCCGCCAGCTCTCTGTCTGTCTCTCTCCATGAATCTAGAGTCCTCAGCTGCTCCCTCTTCCCCATGTCCCCATCTCTGCCTCTATCTCTGATGTTGCTGCTTCTTTGGATAAGGTCCCGCATTCCGCTTGTGCTCTTCTCCCTTGATGGTCCTAGGGTCCTCTGTTTCTGGACTGTAAGATTAACTACTCCCCTGTTTTTGTTACAAAACTTCTATCTTTACAATTGTGACAGTTGTAATTAGTCATGGTAACAGTTACTGTTGAATCGTAAGAATCTTATCCCCATCTCTTTTCACCAGACCCATCTAGACAAGATGAAAACTATTCAGTGGGGACTCTATCTTCCCCTACCCATTCTTAAACTAAACTCCCTCTTGATACCTTGTAAGCCAGTCACTCTATGCCTTTAATTGCCTCCTCATTTTAGGTAGCCTCTGTCTAAGTTGCCCATCCCTATCTACCCTGTGTGCAGAGGGGATAGGATTGATCTGTGATATAAAGACTCTTTCCCTCTCTGTTGGTATTTTGAGCTACTACCTTCATGAGTATAGGTCAAGTTCATCAAATTGTAGCAATTTACCCTGATTTCCTTTATCAAAACTTGATGAGTTTCTTGTTGTTGTTGTTTATCTTCCTCTAGTTGAGTTCTGATTATCAAGCCATCGAGGCTAGATCAAATGGGTAGGTACTATCTGCAAGTTTGGGTGTTCTTGTGGGTCTCCCCTCACTTCATATCATCTGGATGCTTCACTCTCAGCTCTAGCCCTCTGTGGTTATGTCATTGTCCGTGGGCTCAGGTGTCCACAGGTCTCAACACACTTTGGACCAACTAACCCTTCCTCTTCTCTCCCTCATCTCCAGGTCAACAGAATTCTATGGAACATGGTTGAACTCAGCCCATTTCTTCATTGCTGCCTTTCCCCCTCTTCTACTCACCAGTAGACCAATGTGGTTGCCAGCAAGCGTACATGCCTGCTTATGTGTTCTCTTTGAGTTTCAGTCTTAGAGGGGGGATTGCTTATGAGCTTTTAATATCCCAGATGCTACTCACCAAAGTAGGATGTAGATC